GACAGCTTCCTACCTTTAAAGATGGGAACAACATTGTGAATGAGTCTTATGGTGCCTGCCTGTACCTGGAGGTAAGAACATGGCCACAGTGCTGAGTTTTACCCTAGTTAAAATTTTATGCAGCCATATGGCACCAAGGAGTTAATAAGTACAGTAGTATGCTTGTGTACTGAGTGTGTTCAGCTGTGCATTGTAGAAAAGCTGATACCCTACACCGCGTAGTAAAAGAAACCTGATCTCCATGCTGCTATTCATAATAGTTGCTCTTTTCATGTCTCCAACAACAGAGTAAGTACAAGTCCCAGGGAAACAAGCTGATCCCTGAATGCCCTGCTGAGCAGGCAGTCATGTACCAGCGCATGTTTGAAACCAATACATTTGGCCAGAAAGCTGGTATGTTACCATACACACACTAAGAAGCATTTCACTGCTGTTCTGCAAGACAAGACGTACCTGTTGACCCTGTAATCCTGAATCATAATGATAATAGATCAGACTGTGTTAGTTCCTCATATTTGAAGAACTTGCATTTAGTTAATATTTTACAGCTTTATCTCATTACTAACTTTATGACTTAGCAATTGCTACTGAAATCTGCGTTTTGGGAGGAACTTGCATTTAGTTAATATTTTACAGATTTATCTCATTTTGGGACTTTGAACTACACTGCCCATGGCAACACAGCCAAGCCACCCATAAACATTTGACACTTGACATCTTCAGTCTCCTCAGAGGGACCCCTCTTCTCCCCCATGAGACCAATTTTGTTCAAAACACATGCACTAATGAGCTGTGCATTCACACAATTAAACCATTGCACAATACATAAGTCTGTGTGGTGCACACCATATTGAAAGCTTAGCTGTTAATCCCCATATGGAAAAGTCATGAGACAGGGAACTTCATTTCCTGGTAGTGATGGTAGTGGTGGTGGTGGGGTTAAATTCTGTTGTGTTCTGATCAACTTGTGCACAACACAAACATAGTATTTCCTAAGTAAGCTGTTTCAGACTTTAAAACTCTGTAACTGATGTTGCATAAGAATGTGCTGACTGACCACACCCACAGCTGTTAAAGGGAAATGAAAGCAATTGTTATGCCTCCCTGACTGGTGTACAGTGTGTGGATAGTATGATCTAAATACCTGTTGCTGGCATTTTTCAAGGGGATGTTATCTACTATACCTGGTATGTCCCGGAGGGAGAGAGACATGACTCTGCTGTGAAGAGAAACAGAGAGGCTCTGACTGCTGAGCTCAACCTATGGGAGATGTACCTGCAGAAGGTACCATACATAAAATACTATACCTTTATCATACATAAGACATCTCTGCCCACCAGCACATAAATGTGGTCTACCCTTTTTGTGCTATTTTCTAGGCATCAGGCCCCTTCATAGCAGGAAAGAGCTTTTCATTGGCTGATGCGTGTGTTTTCCCAATCATTGCTTTTCTCTTTCGTTTTGGGTAAGTTGTTTTCATGACTGAAAATGACTTTATTGCACTACAAGAAGAACAGATGAACAATTAAAAGCAATGCATGCCAAACACTGAGTGTCACACCAACTTTTCTCCAGGTTATGTGAAAAGCGTTACCCTAAACTGGCAGCATACTACAACTCTGTGAAGACCAGACCCAGCATCAAAGCCTCCTGGCCTCCAACCTGGCTGGAGTCACAAGCGGAGAACCCACAGCTACTGAAGGACATCTAAGATTCAAACACACACTACACGCTTCTGTTGAGTGATGTGCAACTACTTCTTGAAGTGCACTACTTTGGCTGGCCGCACTTTTAAGAACTCTGCATTTGTTGTTAGTGTGGTTTTTAGTTTCCTAACATTTGCTTGTGACCTAAACTCCAGATTCGTCTTGGTGCTCTAAAGAAAAGCAATAAATGCCGACTTTAAACTGATCATTTTACACCAAGTTTGCTTTTTTTTGACGGATTGACAACTTTTTTTGACTAATATGTTTGAGAGGTCTGTTTAAAGGGGGTCAGTGGAATTAAACAGTTGGTTTCTACACCACATTTGACTGCAGGCACAATAATCTCTCAGAGCTCTCAGAGTTTTTTTATGTCATTGAGGTAAAAAAACTAAAGAAAATCTCTCAGAGCTCTCAGAGTTTTTTTGTCATTGAGGTAAAAAAACTAAAAACAAAACTAAAAAAATTTCCTGTCGTAAATGCGTGTGGATGCCAATAAGCTGAAAGATCATCCTGAAAATGTCTGAAACAGCTGAAAGATGAGAAGAAATGGCTGAAGTTCTTTGTAGAAATAGGTGAGAAGAAATGGCTGAAGTTCTTTGTTGAACAATCTGAAGGATGAGATGCAATAAAGCAGAAATGGCCTTGAAGAGCTGAACATTTTGAAAATTGAATGGCTTTTCTAGCTGAAGGTAT